TCCAGAAATGTGACAAAATTCCCGTCCCATTCACACGATCCGAGAAACACATTAAAATCGTTTGTAGCGACTCTACGGAGACGTCGGAACTCTTTGTCGTAATCTAAACCAAATATACGTAACTCCTTATGAATGTCATCCCTTTCCAGTTTATTCTCGCATTGTGCGAGTCTCTGCTCAAAGCCATTGAATATGAGTTCATTTTGCGCCAATAGGTCTGTGCTATTGTTAGCCACTCGTATGTATCCGCGAACGCAATCCCTCTCGTTGTCCATAACTGCAAATTCCCCTAATCAATCAAAATAGGTAATAAAATAAAATAAGTATATAGAAAAAGGCAAATTAAGTCTGAAATATTATAGAAATTTTTACGGGCGTATTTCTAAAGTTATCAAGACCAATTTCATTTTACAGATATAAAATCACGGGACGCACAACATATAATTTTTTTTAATAACCTAGATACGTTATTAGCAAAGTTTACCCAGCTAAAACTAATTTATATAAACATTTTTTGAATTCACCAATAACTTGGATTTACTTGGTTACTGGTGCCTATGAACTTAAATAATTAAACCATTTTCATAATTCTAACAATTTTAAGTGCAGTAAAAATGCTATAACCTAATAGGTTTTCAAGTGGTCCAACATAAACCACAAAATGAATAATAAAATGTGATACGATTATATAATTTGCATAATTGCTTGTACCTGAAATGGGACTGTATTTGATGGTTAATTCACTTGTTGAGGTTTCAGATAATATGACAAAATGCATAAATCGCACATTCTCAAACACAACGGGCAACTTATACCATGAAGTGCCCAAACCAGCCGATACCATGTGCCAAACTAACATGAGATACCCGGCGGCCGGATATACTGACCGGCCATTCAAGCGGTGACCCAAATAAAAGGCGTCTTCTTTTAGAATGGGATCAAAGACTTCATTCATGTCCGACGCGTTCAGACGGTTATAGTCGTGTGGATATAATTTCTCCACATATCTGTAACTGTGATCCCATTGGATGAGCGATGCGATGGACTGTGTATTCCTGGCCACCGGCCACTCGACCCGAGGGTATAGTTTATCGATCGCCAGATTAAAGCCTAATTCGTAGAGTTGTGTCAAACCCGACAAAAACAAATCCATATTTGTGTCGTTTGAGTCCTTTTTAATGAGCGATATATACGTAGAGTTGGGAAGAGTTTCCTTAACAGTGCGGCCGAAGAGTGGGTGTGGGCTCAGCTCTAACACAATCGCATCGGAGGGCAGTTGTTGTAAGCGATCGTAAAACATGACTTCATTCACAAAGTTATGACCAAAATACTCGTCCGGTTTGTATTTTATAGATCGGGAATCCGTTTCAGTCACAACACTCGTCGACAACCACTTCTTGGGACGCATTTCACGATTTTCTCCATATTTTCTAATAAATTGTTGCATCGGTTCCGTAATTGGCTGAACATATTGTGAATGATATGCAATTTCATCGCTTTCTAATTGTCGCACAAATACTCCGCTTTCGTCCAAACTGTTGATTAAAGCTTTCATTTCATTCATTGGCCCTAAAAGTGTATTTTCAAAATTTATATTTATATCCAATATTATAGATTAGGAGATCCCTGAAAACCTATGATTCAATGTAAACCCATGCAAGTTTACATAGTAAAAATGCACATAAATCGCACATAGGGATCTCCTATTATAGATAATTAGATGATATGTAAACAATAAAGACACTCCGCCTATAGATTTGCTAACTTATTGATAACCACAAAAATAATAACATATGGAAAGTGATGTTTAGTTATGTGATCCATTAGTCCTAAACTAGTGATTGAAAAACTCAAAATTTTGGGGTTCAGAGCCGTGTCGGAGCCGTGAAAATATACGGCTCTTAGAGGTGGACCCGGAGGCGTAAAAGCCGGTCGAGAGTGTGTGAGAGGCGCCGGTGTCGCGGCTCCGCCTCTAACATTTCAACCACTATCCTAAACACTTTAGGTTTAGAAATAGTGGCCAATATAATCCACTCACAATATAAATAACATTAATATCGATTTAATAATTTACTGTATTAACCGATCAAATAGTAGATAAAAGGTATTGACATGTCTATAAAGAATGGTACATTTTTGTGACATAATTTATGATTTTACTTCGCAACCAAAGACTGGCCACACGCTTACCGATTAGCATTCCATTGGCCCCATTGAAACACATAATAAAAAATATGACATTTTGGTAAAAGTATGACCAGTCTTTGGTTGCGAAGTAAAATCATAAATTGCTATCTACAATAATAACAGGACATCTAATGATTATATTAAATACTATTAGAGTGTATTATCACCGACTGGACAGTGATAGCTACCCCGAAGAGCCGATCACTCCATGGATTTCCATTGATTTCAATGGCATTTTTGGCCAAATAGTTATGCTTACATTTATGCCTCAGGATTTGGTAAATTCAATACCTGAACGAGTTTTCCAATTGATTTTGAAAAGGGGAAACAAAATTGACTTATAATGTATTTAATTTTGTTGTAATTTATATTATTTCTTCAAAATAAAAAAGTGTTTCTATACGATTGAAACGGTATTTTTATTTTAAAAGCGCGCGCTGAGTGAACGGCAATTGTTATGGAACTGATGGTCACCACTACTTGTGCACAAATGTTTGAACTATGTTTGGTTCAAATTTTACCATGATAACTTCAGTAGTTTTTATTTTATTCACAAAAAACATACTGTGTTTATACGGTTGGAACACACTGTATTGTGTTTAATAAAAATGTATAAATACCAGTCAATACAACCATATCTTTTGCATTATTACAGGCAATGAATATCTCTTTTGGACACAATTGTAACGCCTTTTCTTTGGACAGACCGACGGCAGCTATCAGTCCCTTAGGAATCAAATGTTTAAACTTTGTCGAAGACATCGCTCGGGCGTGTGTAATGACGAGCGCCTCTTTGGTTGTCAGACACCCGTCAGCGTAAGCACAGGCTATCTCTCCAAACGAGTGGCTCAAAATTTATATTTATATCCAATATTATAGATTAGGAGATCCCTGAAAACCTATGATTCAATGTAAACCCATGCAAGTTTACATAGTAAAAATGCACATAAATCGCACATAGGGATCTCCTATTATAATTAGATGATATGTAAACAATAAAGACACTCCGACTATAGATTTGCTAACTTATTGATAACCACAAAAATAATAACATATGGAAAGTGATGTTTAGTTATGTGATCCATTAGTCCTACACTAGTGATTGAAAAACTCAAAATTTTGGGGTTCAGAGCAGTGAAAATATACGGCTCTTAGAAGTGGACACGGAGGCGTAAGAGCCGATCGAGAGCCGGGGCCGTGTCAAAGCCGGGGCCGTGTCAAAGCCGGAGCCAGTTCAGTACCGAGGCTCTGGCTCTAACGGCCCTGAGAGCCGTCGCCGGTGTCGCGGCTCCGCCTCCAACATTTCAACCACTATCCTAAACACTTTAGGTTTAGGAATTGTGGCCAATCTAATCCACTCACAATATAAATAACATTAATATCGATTTAATAATTTACTGTATTAACCGATCAAATAGTAGATAAAAGGTATTGACATGTCTATAAAGAATGGCATTATGTTTAATAAAAATGTAGAAATACCAGTCAATACAACCATATCTTTTGCATTATTACAGGCAATGAATATCTCATTTGGACACAATTGTAACGCCTTTTCTTTGGACAGACCGACAGCAGCTATCAGTCCCTTAGGAATCAAATGTTTAAACTTTGTCGAAGACATCGCTCGGGCGTATGTAATGACGAGCGCCTCTTTGGTTGTCAGACACCCGTCAGCGTAAGCGCAGGCTATCTCTCCAAACGAGTGGCCAATTATGCCGTCGGGTGTGATGTCCAGCGCTTTCATCACTTCAAACAACGCTATCTCTATAGCAATTATCGAATGAAATTTGGCAAACATTGTAGACATCGATGTTTTGTCTTCAGATAACAACAAATTTTTCAAATCGACTCCAAACTCGTGTAGTATTTGATGGCATTCCTCCACTTTATCGGCGAATATCTTGATTGGCATCAAAGCCTTAGCCACTGCCGACATCTGACCGCCCAAACCCGGGAACAGCAGCCATAGAGGTCGAGTACTTTTACTTTTATTTTCTACCATTTGTCTCTTGAATTCGTATTTGACTTCATTGTTTTCTTCTAAAACTTTCTTTATTATAAGTGAACCTAAAATAAGATAATGTTATGAATAATTGTATAATATTGCAACGAAGTTGCAGTGTTGTGACGCAACACAGCATACCATACCGTATTGGGTGATGCGGATGCTGTGTGCGTCACAACAGAGAGGAGAGATGCGACACACAGCCATCTCTCCTCCAGATCGCTGGCAGGCCCCAAAGAGCACAGTTGTATGTGTGTATTGTTTGACAAATAAAAGTGTTTGAATCTGATCCCGGTGATTAATTGATGTGAGTACTTGTTTCCTGTGCTTGAGTGTGTGTGTTGTGTGTGAGAGGCGATCTCCGGTGTGGACGCCCCCGGGCCGGGCCCCTGGGAGGCGTTACAATCAGAAGTGGGATATAGACCCCCTCGTCTAACCCCCTTCGACCCAAATCCAATCCCTCTAACCACTAGAATGTCAGTCTTACCCCCTATACGAAGAATTCGGCGGGTGCACGCTTACTGAGGATTGCAAGTATGCCTTCGCTGGTCGGGATGGGCTTCGTGCTCATTGGGTCGGATTGGCCCCCGCACCGGGCGTTAATCGGCTTCGGCTGTTATGGCTCGGCGCTGTTTGGTGATGCCTCTGCGAACACCCACCGTTCCTGTCCTCCTTATACGACCATGGTGACATATTGAATGCGAGTGTGAGTTTATTGTATTTGAAGGCATAAATGTCTGAATGATTGTGATTAGTATATACACTTAATTGATATTCAGTTTTCACTGCAAAATTTTTAGTCTAGTTATGGCCGTTTGATGCGGTCACTGACGACACTTGTCTCCTCCGTTCGCACCTTTTCTTTATGTAACTTATTGTTGATTGTATTAACAATTCTGTTGTCTTTGCGCACATTTCTGTCGGCTTTGCGTCCGAGTGTTGAACTGCTTGAGTCGTATTTGTTGTCGGGATTGTTGGGATTCCATATTTTGGTCAGATACGTGCCATCACTCTCTCCCAGCAACACGTCGTCAACCATTGACTTCCGCACACGATTTGTGGTCACCAAAGAGTTGTTGTTATTTGAATGATAATTATGATGGAGCCGAACGGGAGAGGACTCACTCACCGTCGAGTTATCACTGTTTTGTGGCGGTCGAGGCAGTCGGCGGCGAGTCAGCCACGAGTGTCGCAAAACTGTGTATGGAGTCATTCGTGTCGACGGATCCCATTCCAGACACTTCTTGATGAAGTCGATGAAGAACTCGTCATCACAACCCTTGAGAGCATTGGCCCATTCTTTGCTGGCGGGCGGGCCTCGCATTTTGACCCAACGTGACCGGCCTCCGCTCATCACTAAACTCCACATATCGATAGGCATACCGTATTTGGCGCCGAGTATCACTTCGTTCGCCCTATAGAAGCTGGACTGGATGTAAGTGTAGACGCGTTGGTGTTCAAAACAACTCGATCCAAAATTAATCACTTTAATGCCAGACCTTCCCTGTTGTTTGAGTAATACGTTTTCAGGCTTGAGATCGCAATGAATTATTTTGTTATTATAAAGCGCTTCCAGACATCTGAGTATAGAAAAGGCTAATCTGTGGACCAATTGAATGCTGAATTCCTGGAACTTATTCTTCTTAATCAGTTCATAGAGATTGACACTCTAGAGCTCGAAAGTGAGACACATGTGGTTACGGAGTATGAAGTTCTCAAACATATGGACGATATTCATAGCATTGTCTTTGTCTTGTTTTCTTATGAGATCCAGAATTCGGATCTCTTCCTGTGCCTGTCTGTGGAACCGCTTCTCATTGCGAACCATCTTTAAGGCCACGTATTGTTGACTCTTGTGGTCATAAGCTTTGATCACTTGTCCAAAGCTTCCCTTTCTTATAATCTTAAGCATTTCGTAGCGGTAGAAGATGTGGTCGTGCGGCACGTGTAGGTACGAGCCGTGTTCGTCATCATAGCCACAGTTGTTGGGGACACCGATCACTCCCTGACGCTTCTTAGCGTTCGTACCAATGAAGTAGATCTGAGAGTAACCAAACACCTCGTGGTGTTCGTATGGCGTCAATTAATAGGCGTACAGTTTCATCACCTGTTCCGGTGTCACCACCAGAGGCTTCGACTTCACTCCATTCCCACTCACACTCGAACTCTTGTCCATCTCTTCATTAGACACCGATCCCGGTGTGGGACTCACTTCAGACAACTGCTGGCAATCATTTAGTTGTAATAAAGCATTGATTTCTTGATTGAATTTAAAGTCCAGTTGAGTTGTGATTTGTTTAACATTTTGTAAATGATGTATCAATTGTTGACATTTAATCTGAAGGTGAAAACATTTGTTTTTGTTTACAGTACTTGTGTACATGAATGAGTGTACGAGTTTTACGATTGAGAGTGTATGTGTATTACGTATAGTATGAGTGTGCGCTTTGTGTGCAATTGCTTTACGCTATCATTGCTATAACTATAACACTATTGCTGTACTTATACTGCATTGAATGCAACGGCTTTTTGTTCAATACATTGCTTTCAATGCTATGACAGCACAGATAGGCAGCCATATAGGGATCAGCACTTGTAATATCACGTGCCATCTGTGCGCTTAAGATAAATGTATGCTTTTATGCTGTGAACACACCCAAAACAGCGACAGACATACCGTCACATTCACGGCATACCACGCGTACAGTCATTGAGCGCACTTTGTAGACAACGCGCCGCCAATATAAGCGCCTTGTAGTCAACAAAAATGCTTGCATTCATTGTGTGGACGGATTGTCGACACAGTATTGGCGTCATATAAACAATAGTAATAAAAATGTCGACACTTTTTGTTGTGTTTTTCAATTGTGTACTCAAATCAAAACACTAAACAATACAATTGCTCGACACAATCAGTACACTATTCGCCACAACCACTCACTATAAGCCACAACAACATCACCACCGGATCATTTGTGACACTAATCTATGTCTTAAGCGACACAAACCATCCCAAACAACACTTTCTCAGCAATGTCTACATTAAACTCGTTGTTTTCGTTCACATCGCCCGCCGTTAAAAAACTATTGGTCTGGAAACAGGGCGACGAAGAGGAGAAATGGGCGGAGAAAGCGGTGGACTCTCTCGTGAAGAAGTTGAAGAAGAAGAAGGAAGCGGTGGAAGAGCTGGAACGGGCGCTAAGCCAACCCGGACAGCAGTCCAAGTGCGTGACAATACCGCGTTCGCTGGACGGCCGGCTACAGGTGTCCCATCGCAAGGGTTTGCCGCACGTTATCTACTGTCGTGTGTGGCGGTGGCCGGACCTCCAGTCTCACCACGAGTTCTAACCACTCGAGCAATGCGAATATCCCTTTTCGGTCAAACAGAAGGAGGTGTGCATTAATCCGTACCATTACAAGCGTGTGGAGAGTCCCGTTTTGCCGCCAGTGCTGGTGCCCCGCCATTCGGAGTACCCCTCGTCCATGAATATACCGCAGGCGCCGACGTTTCATCCGTATGTGTCCAAACAGGTATCGGAGCCAACCATGCCGCACTACGTGTCCTATTCGAGCAGTGGGTTCACCACATCGACAAACAGTTCGCAAAACTCATTGAATATGTCGGTCCTACCGCCCGAAGCTTCTAGTATAAGCTCGTCTGCAGCCGGCGGCCCGCAGTGACCGTTCGTTCTGCCCCTGGCCGAGACACCACCGCCGGCCTATTCGCCACGCGATGACAACTCGATGGCCGCCGTGAACGACAACTCAATGGACACGACTGATATGCCGCCGGATGTGCAACAGATCGCATACCAAGAGCCACAGTTCCGGTGCTCCATAGCGTAATACGAGCTGAACTCGAGGGTCGGCGAGGTTTTCCACGCGCAGACCAACTCCATTGTGATCGACGGCTTCACCGATCCGTCCAATAATAACAATCGTTTCTGTTTGGGACTCTTGTCGAACGTGAACCGCAATTCAACCATTGAGAACACCCGACGACATATCGGCAAAGGTGTGCACCTGTACTACGTGGGCGGTGAAGTGTTTGCCGAGTGTCTATCAGACTCTGCTATCTTCGTCCAGAACCACAACTGTAACCACAGCCACGGCTTTCACCCGACGACCGTATGTAAGATACCGTCCGGCTGTACGCTCAAGATATTCAATAAAACTCTGTATGTGATTGTGTCCCAGTGTCTATGAGATCTGCCAATCGCTACCCACATTCGCGCGCACTCGCCAATATTGTATATGAATGCTAACCATTGCTGATCAGTGTATGTATAACTATTTGGCACATTTGTTTCCATGCTTTTATCATTGTCTTCTCGAGGACACCACCTCTTGTTATCATCCGATTATCTCATTGTTTACATAAACACACGCTTAGAATATCGCATATGAAATGTCAATCAAAACGTTCTCTAATAATGCCCGCCTTATATTCACATATTAAGTTACTAGTAGTTTGAAAATTCTGTCCCCTTTCGTCACCCATTGAACGCCATTCTCGTATATACAGTACTATAACTGTTGGGTCTATGTATACACTGACCCCTAATGCGCGTAACGTTGTCTATGAATGTATTGCTGTGAGAATGCGATGACGAGTGATGTGTGCAGTGTTTTGCAGCTCAATATTTGTGTTTTGAAGCAACGATTGAATGAATGGTTTGTTATGTGTTTTCATTTCATGTTTGTTATTAAATTTAATGAGAGGTGTATTGAAACGAATCCATCGCTGACTTTTTGTCGCTGTATTACCGATCGATCGGCCATTGAATGAGTAAGTGTGTTCATTATTGGCCTTAAATATTCATTCATTATTAGTTTATGTATATTTGTGTCCAAATCGCATATTAATGTCTGTCCAACCGATGTCTGGCCATCCGTACGGCAACAAATATTAGACATTGTTTTATACAAATTTATAAAAAGCTTATTTGACGCGATTTCTCACTCGAAAATTTAAATGATTTAATTGCAACTTACACTTATTGAATATTGTCATGTCAAAATGTTTGGGTATATTGTCAGGAGTAATTATTCACTTAAGAAAATGTTGATTTGACTTTTAATAGTTACAAATTTTATTCGGCCGATAAAATGTGTCGATATGATTGGTTTTGAGTTGATTCTTTCTTAAGTATAATTGTTTGAATAACATGTTATGGTCACCACGGTCAGATCCCTTTCCGTCCGTATTTCATGAATATTACTTGAATGAAAGTGTTTCCATAGTAACTATACTTAAGTTTACTAACCAACCAAATAATAAAAACCAAATGAAAATAAAAACTAAATTGAATGAAAGTTTGTTTTATTTCCCAAACCAATCCCAAATAAAAGCATTTATAATAATTAGTTTTGTGACAATAATAAGTGACAATCTACTAGATCGCCAACATGGCTAACCGCGACCAAGTGTTGACAAACATTATAAATGAAATAAAATTGTTCTGCGCTACGTT